TCTAGGAGTTGTAGTCATCACCAACAGTGAATCTGTGATAGCCACCTCCACCAATGGTACGGCCATCAAAGAGAGGCTCTCACTCTCTGCCAGAAAGAGGTCTACAGCTGACCTTGACATCTCAACTCCAAGTGGTAGGTTAATAAATAGTAAGGGAAATCTAACTTTAAATGCTAGGTTGATGAATATAACAGTACTTAGAATTAATATATCATATTTATGTATATAGGTTTAGCAGATGGACAATCAATCATTGTGACTAAGCTAACACAGAGAGATCTGGAGACCACATACAGTTCTGATGCCTCCACTAACTTTGTACCTTACATACAAGACCCAGCAACATCTAATGACATGGTCCAGAGACTTCTGTATAAGAGGTTTGGCAAAAACTCTCAAACATTGATTTTTTTTTCTTTTTAGAAAGTTTGGTCATTGCAAGTAGCACGATTATATATTTTATTCTTTATTTAAAGGTTTTATGGCCATGGTTTCTCTTTCTCCTTGGTTCCTCTGGGAAATGTTGAACTACCTGGCCCTCTTACCATGTCTTATCCTGATAGTGTGGGAAAAGTGACCACAGGAAACAGGACAACTTTAGTTCATTGGAATTCAAGTCAGTTTTCATAAATCTCTTTAAATAATTATTTACTCTAGCTTAAAGAAACATTTTTAGGTGAATTATCCAAGGAATTCACATCCTTCTGCTAAAAAGAAATGAACAATGAGTTACTATAAAACATGATTTTGGTAATGACCATCATTATCTCAAATGCTTCATATCCTGTCTGCATAGGTTAATGTTTTGTATTTATGAAGTTTTATGATGAAATCATAATTTCTAACACTAACACTTTTGAACAATTCTGGACACTCAAAATTGGTAGCAAGAGATTGCAGGTACTGAGAAATGTCAACAGCTTTATCCCAAACCCCCTACAAGGGCTGCTTTCCCCTTGACTTATTAGGGATTTCCACATCACACAGTCCTTAGAAACCCCTGACATTGCTGTAAATATCTGTTTCAAAAATATAAGAGAGTCGGTTAAAGAATGCATTTTTATATATCTAGATATGCAGTATTGGGAGATCAGTAGCAAGACCTGCACTCATCTAACTGCAGAGGAACAAGAGATGTATGATCCTAACACACAAACAATGACTGTCAAGGTAAATGTATCTCTGTGTTGGTTTCATTTGTTAATAAAGTTTAAAAAATTGTTGAAGATGATATGCTGGATTGCAAAGTATTTACAATTACAAAAATTTTGTTTGAATTAACCAATGCTTTATGCTATAATTAGGTATGTAGTACATATAACGTTGAGCCCAGGCCTGCTGAATCACGACAGAAGAGATCTCTACATCCAGCATACTTCAGCAGGGAGACTATGTTTATACTGGCAGATACCGCAGCATCCATTTATAACTCACCACCCAGTCTTATCAGTATAAAAGATGTAAACATTCTGGAGGACTCAGGTAAGCATACTAGACCGATTTCAACACTTACAAGTAATAATTGTTATGCAGAATAAATAAAATTATATTCATTGAAAAACTGCCACACTGTCAGGTTCTGTTAAAAACTTTTAGGAATTGTAAAATACCAACTAGAAGCAACAGATGAAGAAGGTGATACCATTAAGTTCAAACTTCAAGACAAAACTTTTAATCTGGGTGGAGCTACTCTGTCTTCTGATGGACTGTAAGTTTTCATTTTATTAATTTGAAGTCCTTTTAAGAGGTGTTCTATACTATCTCAGAGATATCTACTTTAATTTTGTGCCTATCAGATATTCTCTTGAACAAGATATTCTCTGATTATATTGAACTTCTTTCATACAAAGAAGAACTTGGTGTAAATAAGTTTAAGAAGAAATCAGGTGTTAAATGAGTTGATATTGTTATACAGGTTGATGTACACTCCATGTCAGGATTGTTTTGGAGTTGAGGACATTGATATTGTGATGTATGAGGAACAGAGAGACCCTGATATTCCTCCTGCAAACAGCACAGACACCATCAGAATCAACATCCAGGCTATCAACGATCCACCGGTCATCTTCCTCATCCACAGTGGGCAATCCATACTGCATGATGATCCAACAGAGCCTATCAGTGTAAGATTTTACTGATGATCAATTTTGAACATAAACTCAGTTAAATTGCATGTTTTTTTCCTTATTCCTGTTAACTAAGGGAGCTCACTGGGGTTTTATTGTGTGAAAACTACGATAGAGAAACTGTTTTAAGTTAGTTTTATATCATATATAACATACATTGATTTCAGTATACTTGCCAAGTTTAGGAAAAATCTTCCATCTAGGTATTTTTTTAGGGACCATCTCAAAATACTGGTACATTTACTTTAGGGTTATAAAAGACTATTTGCTCAAATTATAATATGTGATGAGTAATATTATATACAAGAAACACAAAATTCTACCATCTGGTCTCCAGAGGAGGCATGTTAAACTTAGCGAAATTTTTTATGCATCAAATAACTTGATGTTATAAATTTAATTATAGATTTTGCTGGAGGCTAAGAATGACTTTAATGTGGAGCTGTGGGATGAACCCTGGACAGCAGTACTTGGAGCTTACGATGTGGAATTGGCAGACTCACTGCATTTAGAATTATCTGGGTCTTCAACAGCAAACTTATCTCTATCTGATGAAGCTAGGAGAATACCATCAGTCCTAGGAGATTGTTCATTGAAAGAGGTTTGATTTAACATGATATTATGAATTCAGATGTTAGAAACACAATATTCCTGTTATTCTGTCAAATATTCTGTATACAGATGTGTCTCTCTTGTCATTCTTAAATTCTGTTCATTTTAAATTGATTGATTAAATAGATCTTATTTTCCATCAGAATCAGCCTTGTATGAGTAATTTTTCTGAAAATCTGCCACATCCTGCTGATAAACTATCATGGCTGAGTTACACAGTCCAGTTTTCACAACCACTGAACCAGTTTGGGAATTTTTCTGCAAACCTCTTTTTCTTGGATAGTGGAAATGGAACTTCTCTTCCAATTACCATCAAGTTTGGGCTGATGGAATCGCCATGTCAAAATGGTGGAAAATGCCTTGGTAATTGTTTTGAGTATTTTAATGACACATTTACTTGTGTACAGGTACTGCATTCTAGGGAAGAAAATGCACTGACAAAAACCTGTGCAATTTAATGCACATTTAAAAACAATTCTCTATTTGTACTCTTTTTATTTACAGCCACAGGTATTTATCCTTGCAATGACACCCATAGAACACACAGCTTTGATGCCTACTACAGATGTGAATGTCTAGGAGGTTACCAAGGGAAGTACTGTACCGAGGATATAAATGAATGTCTCAGTGATCCCTGTGTGGCACCCCTCATCTGTTATAATGAAATCAACCACTACCGGTGCGCATGTCCTCAGGATCAGCCTAACTGTGAGCTCCTGCCCTGGATGATAGCACTTATTGCTGTTCTGGTGGTGGTGGCGGTCGTGGTCATCATCGTGTTGGCAGTTGTGAGATATAAGGTCAAGAAAAGGTACATTATCACAGTACTTAAACATGTTTTTGATTAAAAATATATAATATTTTGTAGATAACAAGTTGTGTAATGTACACTGTATCTAAGTTTTAATTCAAAAGCATTAACTTACGGTACTCTGATGTTGATTATTCAAGCTTAGAATTTGTTGTCACTCGAATCACTCAGATGACCTTTAGCCATAAATGTCCTTTGTTCAGCATCCTTGTATTTCATACCATTTTGATCAAGAAAATAAGATGTGGCATTTGGCAAAGGTTAGAGCTCTGAGATAACACTATAGAATATTTGATTGAGTGAGAAAATGCATCAAAATGACATCAGAAGCTTGCAACACATCAAACAAAGTTTCAGTGTTGTGATAGCTATAGATTAAAAGAAAGAACGACAGCTTCTGGAAAACTGTTCAAAATATGGGACACATATCATTTTGTGGGATTTTTTTTTATCCTGCCATGATTCTGTGAAGGGGGTAAAAGTTGTGCTTAGCTGATATGCATAATACATGTATGTATGTCATGAAGTACTCCTATAAAAAGAAATAATTTTAAAAGAATCTTTTTATTTTTCTTGTAGGAAAGAACCCTATGAAAAAGAGTGAGTAAAATCAGTTTTGAATTATATGATAAAATGTAGACAATTGTGAATTGGTACAAGATAAATGATAAAATGCATGGTAGATTTGAAATCTTGTCACAGTGACTATTATTTTATATTGTGTTGTTGTGCACTTCATGTATTTGACAATTTCTTTTTCAGACTTCTTGGGTCACAGTCTACATTAGCTTCCACGGCCAGTCTGAACAAATCAGATGAAGGTAGATATTGCCATACTTGTTACCACTTATACCTTTGTTTCAAAATACCCAAAGTTGCATCCCTGTTGAATCATTAAGCCCTTTGTGTATCAGGTTTTATATTTGTAACTTCACTGGTTGACTTCATTTACAATCAATGGATAAGGGGGATTCAAATTACTGGTAGATCAAATGAAGAACCAACAAATATTCTGAGAGGATCAGGTTTTGATGAAATACAGATTTATTTAAGTGAATCATGAGGAAGACTGTGTTCCTGTTGAATATACTTTTTTGAGCACATTTACAGTGCCTTTAGAATTGAAGATGATCTAGGAAACTGAAACTTAAATGAAATTTGTTACATTTTCTATTTTAGGAGAAGAAGGGAAGACTGGGGATCAGGTAGGGCTGTCGAAAATACTTTATTTTTTTCAAAAATAGATAGGTTTATTTATCATGATATTATTTGTTTTTTTATTTCTTAACTCTTTTTGAAGAATATTTTTACAAAGTATTTCTGAATCTATAGTATATCAATTTTTTAAAAATATTCCTCCTTCATTAAATTATATTCTGTATTTGTATTGCAGTGCTCATCTGGAGTACTTTGGAAAGAACCAGAGATCATGTTTGATGAATCAGAGGTAATTTTTCCAAAAAAAATTAAAGCAATTTATATTTCATTTCAATTTGGAAAAAAACATATAAGAAATTTAAAACATGTCCTTATGGCATGAATGCCCTGTCAAGTGTATATATTTATATGTATTCTACCTATTTCTTTGTACAGAACTTTACTGAAGAAAAGGTTCCATTGCCTGATAAAAAGGAAATGGTAAAATTTTTTAAAAATCCTAGATTGAAAGATCCCGGGGGTATTATTGTTTTTGTCCTGTCTGTCTGTCTCTCTGTGTGTCTGTTGTCAACTTTAACCTAGCCCATGACTATTGAGTGGGTGGGGCTATGGCTTTCATATTCCACAGGTGTATTCCTTGTGACAAAACCTTTCTTTGGGTACCACCAAATGACCTCCTGACCTTGGAGTTTGGCCTTCTTTTAAAAAAAAAACAAACTTTAACCATGGCCATAACTTTTGAACAGTTGGAGCTAGGGCTTTCATACTTCACATATGTATTCATTGTGACAAGAACTTTCAGCTAGTATAAATAATATTTAACTTTTGAACTTGACCTAAGACTTTGACCCATTTTTTAAACAGTTTAACTTTGGTCATATAAAACTTTTGAACAGTTAAAACTAGGGCCTTCATATTTCACAGGTGTATCCTTTGTAACATGACCTTCCTTTGAGTACCAACACTTTTGACCTTGACATTTGGAGTTTGACATGCATTTAAGGGTACTTAACACAAACAAAAATTTGATGCATGGATCGATGTATATTTTTTGACTGATTTTGACTTGAAATGACATGAATAAAAAATCCCTGAAATATAAAGAAATCATAGGATTTCCTTGGTGCTTAAATATGAGATTTTGTTTTGTTTTCTTTATAATTCCATACAAAATTTTGCACAAATTTTTAACCTTATGACAAAATCTTATAAAATTCTACCACTATACTTGATGAACATTTTTCAGGTTACCAATTTAAATGTAAATCTATCAGAAATGTTCCTGATTTATGAAAAAAGTTTGTGTTATTTATCCTTAAGGGAATGCAACCCTCACTATAAGCTGCCATGCGGGTGATCAGTGTTTCACAAACACATCTTGTTTATTCTGGAATATAATTCACCATTTTCAGGAATTTTAAAATTTTTCCTTTCTAATTTTTTTTTAACTAAAAAACATTTATTAATGCAGGTTCCGGTACAGAATTGGGTAGAACAGAAACATGATGCTGATTACTACAGCAACCGCCTTCTGAAATCCAACTTTAAGCCTTTGCTACCAGTCAAGGATTCCATTGCATCAGCAAAACAGACCATCAAGAAAGAGAAGACGGAGAAAAAATCCTCATCAGGCAAGAAAACAAAGAAAGAAAAGGCAGAGCAGCATTTGAAACAGAACCTAAGAAAGACGACTATGGGCCCAACTAAACCTGCATTTCCAACTCAAGTGCTACCAGAAATAAGGAGGGCAGATCAGACAAGGATTCCCGGCTCAAATGATCCAAACCTGATGAAATCAAGTAAAGTTCATCCTGTTGATTATGACTTGAAACCAAACAAGACGACTGTCAAGCAAGACCAGGATTCTGTTGATTCAGCCCCTACATTACTGCATGACCTTACACCGTCAGTCATCAAACTTTGTGACAGACCCACTAGAGAGGAAACCCAGAGTCCCAGATTTGAAGGGTATGGTAGTTACCAGACACAATAAAGTCCATCCACTGAATACAAAAGGATCTGACCTGCAGACAACTTTTACTGATGAGAGCATGTCTGTTTCTGAGAGGGAAAAGAGAGATCTGATTGAGCTTGAGGCCAGCTCTAATAAAAAATGTGCCATTGAATTGGAAGATAATTCTGGAATTCCAGCTCAGTGTGAACGACAGTTCTTTAGTTCTCATAGACGTGTAAATCCTATCAAACTTTGAATTTCTTTCCAACTGATTTTATTTGCTTTAAAACTAAACAGCTTTAATCTATACTATCAGATAACCAATCAATATTTTCTCTTTTTGAAAAGATGATTATGAAATGTTCATTAATTTTTGACAATGTACCTAATAATTTTGGAGTATTTTAATAAACTTCATGAAATTCAGTTGTGTTTTGTTCAAGCAAGACAATGGCTCAAATTCAGCTATCATGCATGCATTCCAACAGCTTTATTAGGACCCTGCAAAAATTTGCATGTAACCAACATAATCTGTCATTCTATTCACCCCCAACTGTTTCATTTTTCGTAATTATTTTAATGAATAACCTATTTATATCCCCTGCAAACGAAGTTTTCGGGGGGGGGGGGGGTATGTAGGAATCACCTTGTCTTTCAAGCTGTGATTAGACTGAAACCAAACCGTCTGTGCAAACGTGTCCGGTCCATATCTTTGCATACTGAGGAACATTAGACTCTACAGACTCCACAGGAAAAGATTGCCCATGACTCAAGGGTGTGTCATGACCTTGACTCAAAGTCATTTGGGGAAGTTCAAGGTCACTGGAAGAAAGAAGTTCATAATTCGAGTCCGCTCTAATAAAAAATGTGCCATGAATTTTCTTATGGTTAAACTTGGTAGGTTCTCATATCTTTCTTATGGTTAAACTTGGTAGGTTCTCATTTCACATGAAAGATTTGCTTTAAAACCCAAGGGTGTGTCATGATTTTCTCTTGACCAAAAGTCATTTGGAGAAGTACAAGGTCACTGGAAGAAAAAATTCATAATTCGTGTCCGGTCCATATCTTGCTTATGGATAAACTTGGTAGGTTCTCTTTTCACACAAAGATTGCCAATGACCCAATGGTGTGTCATGACCTTGACCCAAAGTCATTTGGAGAAGTTCAAGGTCACTGGAAGAAAAAGTTCATAATTCGTGTCCTGTCCATATCTTTCTTATGGATAAAGTTGGTAGGTTCTCATTTCACACAAAGATTGCCCATGACCCAAGGGTGTGTCATGACCTTGAGCCAAGGTCATTTGGGGAAGTTCAAGGTCACTGGAAGAAAAAGTTCATAATTCATGTCTGGTCCATATCTTCATGGATAAACTTGGTAGGTTCTCATTTCACACTTAGATTCCTAATGCTGTATGGGTGTGTCATGACCTTGACCCAAGGTCATCTGTGCAAGTTCAAGGTCACTGAAAGAAAAATTATATAATTCATGTTTGATACCTATCTTTATTATGGAAAAACTCTGAAAAACCCAGCGGGGGGTATTTTGTCCTGTTCGGACTGTTCTAGTTATAATTCAGAGTATAGTTATGTTGAGCCAGAGTGTTTTTTTTTCATATTATGAAATTCATGGCCCCCGAGTCAGGGGTTCTAGGGTAAGATGGGGTGAATCAAATTGTGAAAATGCATCAATTCTGAAATTCTGGGCTATTTAAAACAGACAAACTAAGTGCATGGTTGCAGTATGATGAGCAAGGATATCATTTCCAACTTAGTGGAATTCATGGCCTTAAGGTCAGGTACTACAAGAGGGTTCTGTTGATCTAAAAACTTTCACTACCAGTCAATCACCCCGAAAATGAAAGTCAAATCCAGCATCAGATGTCTGTAGAGTGTCTGTCATGATGCATTATCCATGCATGCTTGGTTGGATAGGCCTCATCGTTTCTTGGTAATGGATCTGCTCCAAAAAATACAATCTGGTCAATCAATAGAAATATGCAGGTCAAATCTAGCATCTTATCAAGCATTTCTGGTAGTGATCATTGTCATGTTCTACCCCCAACCTTAGCTGAGGTGAGCTGTTTAACATTATTTTTAAAATGGGTGAATTAAAGTATATAAAACAATGTTTTTAGCTCTATTGGTCAGAGACCAGAAGAGCTTATGCGATAGTAATGCGTCCGTCCATTTGTCTGTCTGTCTGTAAACAATTTTTCAAAATGATACTCCTCCTAGAGTTTTGGTCTGATTTCAATATAACTTGGCACACAAATAGACTACATTAAGATACGTTATTCTATATATCAGTTTTTGATTTCAATGAACGGTGTTGTCGTGGTTACTAAAAATAGAAATTTCAGTGAAAAACATTCAAAATGCTACTCCTCCTACAGTTTTGGTCTGATTTTGATATAACTTGAAACACAAGTAGACTTCATTAAGACACATAATTCCATGTGTCAATTTTTGATTTCGATGAACGGTGTTTCTGTGGTATGCAAGTAGACTATACTAAGATACATAATTATCAGTTTTGTGTTTTTAATTTTGATGATTGATGTTGCCATAGTAATTTTAATTGAAAATTCTATAACATTTTATTAAAAGCTACTCCTACAGTTGTAGTCTTATTTCAATCTTGCCATAAAAAGAGATTTAATCAATAATCATTATACTATTTATTGTTTTTGTAAAGTTGAAAGTCCCAACTGCTACTTTTCTCTTCCTTTATTTTAAGTACAAACCATTAGAGCTGCAGTCTCGAAAGAGACTTCTGGTTTTATTTACTGTTGGCCTAATGTCCTTACTTGCAGGGATATTTGTGTGGACAAATAAAGACAGGTTACATCAAATTCTCTGAAAAGAATTGAGTAGGAGTATTACATACAAGTCTCTAGAGCAAGGAAAAGTATCAATTATTGATAAATTTATTATATGCACTGTTTTAGAAATCTAACAACACAGAATTAACAATGAAATCAGGCATACGATACATAAAAAAAAAACTCTAATTAAAACATGCTTGTAGAATTAACAGAGAACAACTCAAACAAAACAATATCAAAAGCAACAAATGAAAGACATAACATTTATAAACAAATGACACAACTACTTATCACATACAGTTATTACATAGAACTGGAGGACAATACAAAAGTGTTTCCATTTCAATTCAAGTAGAAGTTCATATTATTTATAATAAGCTTATTTATATCAAAAGCTAAAAGAGTTCCCCCCCCCAAATAAAATTAAATACTTTAAACTGTGTTAGTTGCGAAATATAAAACACATCCACAAGGTCTACACTGAATGTATCAATTAAGTACAGTAGTTAATACTGGATTGATAACACATCAACATACATTGAATGGATCAAATTAGACATGCCTCTTGCTAAAACACAAGAAGGAAATAAACACCAAATTCAAAGGATTTGGCAGAATTTTGTCATGTCTTACTATATTAAATTCATTTCAAGACATTTCGCTGTGCAATAAACTGATACTGAGCTCTACTATTAAACATTAGTCTGTGAATCATTTTCAAAAGAATTTTGTTTCATACATAAGAATGCAAAATCTTTCTTTTAAAATTAACACTAGTTCAGCATGTCAGACTGAAAATTGCACCACACATCAAACTTGCAAGTACAGAATATCTGAATTATTTTATTATCAGGAAATACTTTGCGATTTTAAATTCTGCTTATCGGTGCCATCTGCAAATTTTCACAAAAATTGGACAATTGCAAAAAATACACAATTTTATAGTAAGATGTCGTAGACAATTCCTTACAACATCAAAAACACTGATTATCCTTTAAAAACAAGATTTACTATTACGTAACTAATGGCTCAGCAAAAAAATATCTGAATCTCAAAGTTCAAACAAAATAAGAACAAGTAACATTTTAGCTGCCTTCTTGAACAAAATAACTTGTCCATGCATATTCACAACATGAACTTCATATAAAAGTTCTAACCACAGAACAACACATCATGGTAAATGTCATATGTTCTAACTACAAATATTTACATTACATTAGACATTTTCCTTAATACAGACAGTATGTTGCAATTATAATTCAACAACATTCAGAGCACCAATTTATGTGTATGTGATGTGACAATTACAAATTTGTTGCCAAAAATATAAGTTAATGGATGTAACAATTCATGGCCCCATACAATGATTATTGTTTCATATGTAGTACATGTAATCTGAAATACTGGTTATAATACACTCATACATGTACATATTTTTCAAATTTCTTCACCTTATTGATTGGTATTAAAAGAGAATCCATGCAGAAAGAAATATAAATCTGGTTCATGCTAAGCATGTCAAATTAAAATAAAAATACAAATATATACTGCTTTTAAATCAAAAAAGTATTTCACTGAGTATACTTCTAATGATTCTGGAATTTGATTATGCTCAATTGAAATACAATTATAATCATGAAAACAGCTCAGCTGTAACTTTTGAATGGTAGACAATTATGGAATGTTTGAGAAAATGAGTACAGGGGGTAGTTATGAAGTACTTTTCTTTAGTAAATGGTATAAAAATGTCAATATAAGTATCACATGTCACTTTTTTTGCAATTTACAAATCTATAATTAACTTGAGATTAGAGTTACAACACTATTCAAAATTTGTAAGCATGACTTGTGTTAATCAAAACCCCAAATTGCAAAAATTAAACCTTCAATACATCACCAAAGTCACAAACAGGTTTATTTCTTTATATCTCCTGGAGAAATCTGTCTCTCTCCCTCACCAAGAAATATTTGTAGAGCCTTTCTTAGAAGGAAGACCCCAAATCGCTGACGGTTTTTAATCGACCATGATGTGGCTGGACCGTAGACATCTCCCCTTTTTATATTTGTTAATCGAGGTAAACCTGAAATAAAATGTTCTTTTGTTTATAACAAATGCAAACAAAACCAATATTTTCAATTAATATTTTAAAATTTTATACACATCTGTCAGTAAATTGGGAGTGTGAAACATAAGATGATGTAAGACTGAAAGTTGCAAATACATGTTCTGTACTTCTGATAGACCTGATACATACTGAACAGATACATGTATCACAATGTGATGTCAATTTTTCAGGGGAAAATGAATGTATTTCATGAACATATTTGTGGTTTGAACTGGTTTTCCATAGAGCTAACATTAATTGGGGAGGGGGGATTAAACTGGGCTGACTCCTAGATTTTTTTTTCTCAACAAGTTATTGGTCAGATGTTTTCTTTTCTTTTTTTTTTTTTTTTGAATGTAGTGGACAACACCTAAGAAAAACTCCTTGATCAGCAACAAGTAAGGTTGGAGTTTAATTATCAATATTAACAATGCACTATTTTCCAATAATTATATTCTTACTTAAAATGTACACTAATGTGTAAGCAGTATAAATTCAAAATTAACTCGGAAAGTATTTTTCTCCTCTTCTCAAATCTTTAAAAGAAGTTTATAAATAATTTTTCAGTAACAAAAAATATTAAATCATCTCTTTACTGGCAGAAATGCCAGTATTGGGAGGGGATTCTCTACATTTTGTAGCTCAAGTGAACTATATGAAACTAGTTTCCATTAACAGAATCACTGACTTACCTATGGCATCCACCATACAGGCCTCTCTTGTGTATGCCTCCACAGGGATGACGCTCTGAAAACAGTGCAGGGAAACAACTCCTTGCCCATCATTCCAGATGTCCAAGATATGTTGGACCTTCTTACCAGCCTACAAAATACATCAATCTGATTTCTCTAAACAGTTTTACTAGAATGATTTGCTTCCTTATTTTGATCCTAAGAACATAACAGTGTATGGCACACTTATTTGAATTTATAAACCATTTAACTGAATAATGAAGACAACTAAGGCTAGCTCATATCTTGAATGATTAAGAAATCATTTCATAAATGTTCATTCAGTTTTGTTGTTCATTGCATTTGTACTTTTGTTTGTTTAACTTACTTTGCCCAGATTATTGTTCATGTGGGACTGAGCTTCAAAGAGATGACAGTATGGTCGGGACCGCTTGCCTTTGCCGATGTAAAATATAGCACCAACAAATATCTTAAATGTCTCTAATTCACCTAAAAATTAAATATAGTAATTATTACAAAGTACTGTAAACCAACTTTTATTCGCGTGCGAGAAATTTTCGCGAAGTTCGCGACAGCCTCTTCATCGCGAATATTTCTCACAGCGAACCAGTCATAAAGGTCTCTTTGTCTATTAACAACAGATAAAAAGAGGCTTCATCACGAAAATTAATCGTCGCAAACTAGTTTAAGCTCGGTAAATTGCGAAATAAAGTCGTCGCAAACAAAAATTGGTTTACAGTATTAAAATAAATAATCATAAATTCTTAGTGGTTGATATATATTCTTCTGATAAGATCAAACCAAAAAATAGAGCAAGATAATTAAAATCAGATGCTGCTAAAAACTTATCTGACAGCTTTGAATTACCTGTTTCATCATTTATATTTTAAATTCTGAATTTCACATAAAGCACTGATCCTGTATAACTGAGGTAAGACTTACCAAGGTTATCTGCCCTGTTGGGTAGGTCCTGAGTGATCCGAGGATCCAGTAAGAGGTAGTTAAAGGAGGATTTCAGGGCCCCCTCCCTCCAGGTCCCAGACAGACTCTTGTCATTAAACACCTTAAACAGGTCGTCCTCCATCTCCCGCAGACCCACCATATCAAAGTGTCCCTCAAAACTATTAAGCAGCACTGACGGGTAATCTGAGGGGAAAATTAGTTATAGAATTGCATGGTTCTATAACATTATTTGAGTAATAACAAATGCACTTTTAATCAAATCTTCTTTTTACATGCTAAGATACAGTAGCTAGTCAATGAGAGTGTATTCATGAATGTTCATGATCCATGTAATATAAATGATACAGTGTAAGAAAAAGATGAAAATGAAAACTGGAGACACAGAATTGATAGAAGTATTAAGATGTATTAAGCAAAAATTGCTTAAAATAATTATCATCAATTGACAAATCTTAAATCTAACTGTAATTCAAAACACACCTGGTAACTTCTTCAAAATCCCAAGCTGGCCCCCTTGTAGATTGGTTTCCAGTTGTTTAAGTCTTGCTAGGTATGTCTGCCTAGTAGACGGAACAACTGGTCCAGGGTTGTCCCCTAAGCCCTTTAACTTCTGATGGATTTCTTTATTAGACAACACATTATTTATGTCATCTGATTTGTGGGAGTAGTGTTTCCAGTCATACAGTTCTGTCTTCTGGGAGTCCACTGTTGACTGGCTACAAATACTGTTGCTGGATGGACAGCCACTACTTCCACAGAATGACGATAAAATATGTTTTTCTACCAGTTTGTTACCGGTGTCTGGATCTTCCCAGTAGTGAATTGTGGACTCTGCGGTACTTGCCAGAGATATGGTGTCTATGCTGTATGGTAGTGTCTTGTTGAGATCGTCATATGGATCATACAGTTCAGTATCTTCAGAGTTTCCTGACTGTTCAAGAGTGGACGAACAAGAGTCAGTGGCTGATGGAAAATTTTGCTGATGCCATTGTCTGACAAGTTCCTTCTTACTTGGGGATTTCAAGGCAAGACTACTTAAACTTTTAGCAAAACTGGGTTTACTTGGAGCACAAAAGCTGTCATCTGATGTCAAAAGGTCGCTCAGGTTTGCTGGTAGAGAGGACGGTAGAGCTACAGGGGGTGAGAAGACTTTCCTCTGGTTAGGAGATCTGACGGTCTGAATAGAAGATCTGACGTTCTGTGTAGATTTGAGGTTCATGGCACTGAACTGCCTGAGAACATCATTATTTTCAGGACAAAAGCTTTCATCTGAAGTCATCAGATCACTCAAATTAACCGGGTAAAATGGCCGTGGAGAACATCTCGGTGAAGTCTTTTTATCTTTGAAAACCTCATACACATAGTTTTCACTGTTTCTGACACTTTTTCTTTCCTTGGTCTTGTCTTCCTGTCCAATGTCTGTCTTTGGACTAATGCTTCTGAGTGCATTTCTGTTTTGGTTTAAACAAGGACAGTTCTGCTGTTGACCACATGCACATGTGTCCAAGTGACTAGTGCAAGTAAGAAATGACTCCTCTGATGTCAGAGTGTCATTTCTCCTTCCTTTGATGTCAATGTATGGATGATCTGTAAGGAAAAGAAACATTTAAAAATAAGATTTAAACTTATAAAATCAATTATTATAATACAGGTATACATATGGTAGGCATACTTTTTTCCGTGGGGTCATAATTCCGCGGAATCTCAATTTCTGTTTAATCCGCGGGTAGAAAATTACGCGGATTTTCTCGACTGTCACTATATGCCTTACATTTATATTAAGTATGCTTGGACAAATTTCCATGGAAATAGTGTTAATTAATACCACGTGAAAATAAGTACTTCTACAGTATTCAAATTTAGGTAAAGCATCTACTATAATGTAATTTATGGCACGCCAAAAATCACAAAAATGAGCTAAACATAGTTTCACAGTCGATAAACTAGGTTTATCGGTTGTAAACTATAGTTTACGGACTGTAAACTATAGTTAACAACGTTAATCTATATTTTACATCGTAAACCATAGTTAACGTGATAATCTATATTTCACAACCGTAAACTATACTCAACACTGAAAACAATCATTTATATCAATCAACTATAGTTTACAAATGTGAATCTATGTTTATCAAAAAAATCTATTGTTAACGCTTATTACAGACAGATAAACTTAAATTATCATTCGTAAACTATAGTTAACAACCGTTAAATATAGTTTTACAGATGAAAACTATACTTAACGAATCGTTAACTATACTTAACGAATCATTAACTATAGTTTACGGTTTGTAAACTATAGTTTACAGTCGATAAACCTAGTTTACCAAATGTGAAACTAGGTTTATCTCATTTTTGTGAATTTGGCGTGCCATAGAAATTTTATTAATTTTTATCAAATAAAATTTTACTTTATCAAAGCTGCTAGAATTTCCTATTTAAATAAAATATGTTGAAAATTACTAAGTACCTGGAGATGTCACATCCATGCAGTACGTATTCTTCATTAAAAGGTCTTTCATGGTACTTGAACTTGAGTCCAGTTCTTCTACAAGATGCAATAAGTTTGAATTATTCTGTAACCATTCTTGATGTCCTCTTTTCTGTGATGGCATCCTGGCAATGCCAGGGGTCCTGACTCCTGAGTCAACAAGTTGCCGTTGGACCCCTGGCATATCTCATTAGATATTTTAGGGCTTGCTTCCCTCATTTAGAAGCACCATCAATTAAAGCTTTCATAAACAGAAGATAATGTAAATAAAAAGGATTCAATTGACATCTCAAATGCACATGTTACAAGTTGTTTATCATAGAATGGTTTAATGTGATTGATTAAGAGATAAGAAAAATTATTCAGATTTTTAATTTTTCTGAAAGATGTCGCTTCAGTAGCCCATGGATATTGAATGAAATATGCCAGGGGTCCTACGGCATTGTGTTGACTGACAGCACCCCTGGTATTGCAAGGATGATATGATGGAAATTCCCACTTCAAACGTAATGAGAATCAACAATTTGTGAAGAGAGTCAGAATTGAAAATGTAGCTTCTTAAAAACAAGTACTCGTTAATAAAATTTTATTTCATTTATCTAGAATCTAAATGAATTACCTGACATGTGTGACTTGATTGTGTCCAAGCATTCACATTTACTGAATTTTCTTGCACTACCAAATGCTGTCTCCCCATCCTGAAAATAAAATATCATTCATCACTACACTTGTGTTAAGAGATAAACATAATACAGTAGTGGTGTAATTATTGACTAACAAGGAATCTGTGAGCCAATGCTCACTAGGAATATCCCCGCTCTGATGCGATTAACACTATCATGTTAATATACACAAGTTCAATTACGGACAGATGCACCGAAAAATATGAAATTGACATCAGATTCATATCAAAACTAGTGCTAATTGTAACGGGGACCGTTACAGATGTTCCCCAAACGCTCCCCAACTCCATTTTGGTGCCATATTCCATGTAAGCTTTATTAAATAAGACAAACTCTATGCATTTGAGATTTTAACAATGTTTTCCCAGAAGTGTACCAAATTCATTCAAATTTTAGCATTGCACGCGTGTGCATGTGGATGCATGTGCGTAATGACCATATCATCTTGTCTACACAATCTATATATTTTTATATACTAAATATTAAAGTATTTAATCCAAAAGTGTTAAAAAATACGCTTATTCAGGTGTATTTTTGATTTTACCCATTTCACGTGCACGCACATGCATACATGAGTATGGTGACCATACCTTCTTGAAGAAGTCCATAACATCTATCTATGCTCTCAATCCCACCCCATTTAGTTGAAAACCAAGGGAGTTATAGCTTTTTAAAGTTTAAGCCAATCAGATTGCAGCGCACGTACACGCACTTGTATGCATGTGCATGTTGACCATACCTACTTGTAGAAATCCATTATTTCTATCTATGTTCCAAATCCCATCCTGTTTGGTTGAAAACCAAGGGAGTTATAGCTATTTAAAGTTTAAGCCAATCAGATTGCAGCGCACGTGCATGCACGTGTTTTCATGATAATTGCTATATATCTTGCTGTAGCAGTCTTCGCCAAATTTTTTTTTCAGCACATGCCCTTCGGGCAGGTGTGATCCCCAATTACGCAAGCCCGAACAAATATTTACATGCCCAGAATTTTATCAATTTTAAAGTTATAATATTATTCTTATTTGCCTATTCATGCCAAGGAAATGACCTGAATCCATTTGTCTCGCCATATGTTTTC